AAGCTACAAGATTTCTGGAAAAAAAAAAAAAAAAAACTCACTACAAATTTAAGGTACCAAGACATATCAATGAGAATTCTTCTCCCCAGGTCTGGCCCAGGAGGATATTCTTTCCTGGACTAAAAGTGCATCTTTAGTCTGGGTGTTTCTTTGGGATGGTGTTAGCTTTACCCAGTTGAGAACTGGTGCCATTTTTTGACCCCTTGCTGTTGTATCTCTTCAGGTGACGCAGAATGATATGATAATGGCCGAAAGGCTCTTTGGAATCCTAGCACATGTAGCATCGTCTGAATTACCCCAGTACCGTCTGATTTCCATTCTGGGTGATGCCAGGTAACCTTAGTTTCTGTAGCTTGTGTAGAATTACTGTGGTCTTAGAAAGAGAAATAAGCACACATCTCTTGAACTCTGCCAGTTTTAGATCCGATAAACACATGTCGTAAACGTACTCTGGGGATGGCCCGGTTCAGTGTTGGTGATATAAAGACAAGTAAGACAAATAAGATGAAAACCCTGGTTCTCCTGTGACTGGTTCTCATGTCTGATAAGTGGAAGATACACACAAGCGATGAAAACGTACCTGAAACGCCTAGAGAGGTGGAAGGACAGAGAAGCTAACCACGTTCTGGAAGAAGCTGGGCACGCCTTCGTAAAAGAGAGAACATGGTACCTGGTTCTTCAGGAACGAGTTGGAGTTTTTCAGGTCGAGGACATGGAGGGGCGATGTGCGAACGCACAAGGAGTTACAGCTCAGTATAACTGGGACATGGGCCGAGGGGAAGGTGATGGAAGGTGAAGCTGGACAGATTGTGTCTGACTTTGAAGAGCCTTGAAATCCCTGCAAAACAAAAACCGTGCTTTGTAATGAAGTACAACACCTGGTGTAGGTAGACCTGTGCCACCATTTGACCAGACAGAGACCGAAGGAAAGGAGGTCAAACGGGGCTAGTCTACAGTCCAGGAAAGAGACTGAGGGCTTGAACTAGCGCTGAGAAAATAAAGAAGGACTGAAACACGTTGAAGGTGGACCTGGCAGGATGTGTTAGGCTGTGGGAAAGTCATGATGTCTATTTCCATTTTACCGTGACCTTCCTGATGACCTAGTAGCGTGAACGGGGGGAGGAGTTAGGGACAGTAGCTCCGCCATGATTCAGTTACACACAGTGGAAGTCACTCTGGCTAGAGTGAGCAGAAAACAGTACACAAGGAATTACGTGTCTACAGAATCTTGAAAGGGTAGAAGCTGCAGTCCTAGACTGGGCTTCCAGCAGTGGCTGAGAATACTGTCCCCTTTGCTGCAGTCATGGGCAGCAGGTGACTGATGCCCCAGCTGTGAGCCCAAGGAGCCTTCCACGGGAACCACATCGGGGGCCAGGGAGATCCCTACTCCCCTCCCGATAGCCAGACTCCAGAGCCAGTTTCCCTGCCCTGATTTATGCAGACCCAGTAGGACTCTCCAGTGCTATTCCTGCTTCCAGTTAGCGCGCTTCTGAGTTCAAATCTGACCCAGCTGTATCTGTTTGATGGACACTAAATCCCATCTAGAACCTACAGGCTATTCTGAAAAAAGTACTGCAGAAAGGATTGAATTCAAGAAACGATGGTGTGGAAAAAATTAGTAATGGGATAAACAAAAACAAAACCCACCCCTAGTCACATCATTGAAGTGAAAAACACTACGTATAAGGTGAAAAAAAGGTAAATAACCTGGAAAAGAGGAGTATCTTCTAAGGAGAGCAGATTAACAGTCGACTTCACAGCAACAGTGCGAACCAGCAGACAGGGTAACGTGTGATATGTGCAGCACACCTGAGGAGGTTCTAAACGCCAGCCTAGGATTCTGTGCATGTAAAATATGTATTTTACGGATGAAGCTGAGAGCCAGCAGTTGACACGGTGATTAAAGACGCTGGACTCCCACATGGCCAACTGTGGTTTGAGTCTTGGACCTGGTGGTTTGCTTTCTCACTTTACCTCTCTCTCTGGTCAAATTAAAAAAATAATAAAAACAGATAAAGTTAAATAAAAAATTATTCTTAAAAAGAAAAAAAAAGAATGAGGGTGAAGGCAGCAGGTGCCACCGTGGGCATAGTGTTTAAAGTGGCTGGATCCCACATGGCTGACTGTGCAGTTTGAGTCCTGGACCTGGCAGTTTGAAAAACATGCCAGGTGTGTGCATGCCCAAATCCTGAGAAGAGAAAGCAGAAGGAATGATGGCATGGCCATCCCTGAGGGTGATTTCTCACTTTCCCTCTCTTTGTCTCTTTCTGGCAAATGCATATGCCCTATAGCAAACTTAAAAGAGTGAAGATGAAATAAAGATATTTTAAACAACATAATAAAAATAAAATCTAATCGGATCAGCAGATAGCATAATGGTTATGTTACTGGACTCCCAAGTGGTCAACCATGGTTTGAGTTCCAGACCTGGCAGATTTAAAAACTATCCCCAGGTGCATATGTGTGCATGCTCAAAATCCTGAGAGAATGGAGGGGAAGGGATTGCTGTGTGGCTCTCTCCCCCTGGGGGGGGGGGGAATTTCTCACTTTCTGTCTCTCTGGCACATGCCCTATAGCAAAAATCTCTCTTAAAAAATATAAAAATAAATAAAACCTAAGATAGTTCCCATTGGTATTTCTACACTAAAAGAAATGATAAAGCTTATGGCAGGACAGTGATTTCAGATAGAAGATGGAAGGTCTGAGATGTAAAGAGCTAAAGAGCAAGGAAAACTGTTAAAGATGTTGGATAGAACTAAATTAACAGTGGCCATATAAGGCAAAATGGTTAATAACATTTTGTGGGATTTAAAAATACAGACTTGGGGAGCCAGTAGCTGGCATGGCGGTTAAGGTGCTGGATCCCACATGGCCAGTAGCACGGTTCAAGCCTTGGACTCTGAGACTTGAAAATCATGCTGGGCGTGTGTATGTGCATGCCCAAAATCCCGAGAGGAGAAGGGAGGAGAAGGGATTGTGGTGTGGCCATTTCTCCAAGGGGTAATTTCTCATTTTGCCTTGCTTTCTCTCTCTCACCACCCCCCACCCCAGAGAGTATACATGCAAAACCTTAAAAAAAGATGCATAGATAGATAGATGTGGAGAGAGACAGTTAGGCTAGCTGTAGCAGCATGCTCTGGTCGATGGTGCTACTGCAAGTGAGGCCGCGTAGGAGGCCCTTCCTGAAAGCTGGGTGCACACACTGTAGTCCCAGCTACTCAGGAGGCTGAGGCAGGAGGACCCCAACATAGTGAGGCCCTGTCTAAGTAACAGGAGTGGATGTATAGTGAGAATTAGAATGCAGTGCAATGGTAGCATAGATGAAAGACCCTGAAAAGATTTATGGAAAATGGCATCTTATGAAAACCTACGTGGGCTTCCAAGTTTTTCCACCAAAATAAACTTGTACTTTAATTCCATTTTTCTATTACTCCTTCCCACCATGCAAGTACCTTTGTATACCCTTTTGTAGTGGAAGGAGTCCATGTAGGTACAGTGTTCTAGAACCTTGTATTGTCTAGGAAGGAGATAAATGTATTAATTACATTTGGATGTTAGTGAGTTAAGAGTTCATGTTGTAATTTCCAAGATAACCAAAGAATAAATGAGTACATAGCTTCCAAACTATTGGGTCCTCGGAAAAGTCATGACATTCTTCTCTGTGTTTTTCTATGCAAAAATGTATCATGACTTTTCCAAGGACCCAGTAGTAAAGGAGGCAGAGAGTAAGATAAAGAAACGTGGGTTAAATAGAAAGAAAAGAATAAGGTGTATGTAAGCCCAAATAATGCTCGAGCAACAGTTATGCTTCTGTTACTTTGCCACTACTGTGTAACAAACACCCCTAAGTCAGTGACTTAAAAAAGAAAAGTATTTATTTTTCCCTTGAGTCTGCAGGTCCTCAGCTGGAGTCTGTATACACCCACAGCCACGTCCGAAAGGGGCGGTCTCGCTTGTTCGAGGGCTGAGTGGCTGTGACCTAGGCTAGGAAGGCCTCAGCAGGGATGACTTGCCTCTGTCCCACATGGAACAGAGTCTTTCCTTTCGGACTCCAGAAATCTGCCAGGACAGAAGCAGCGTTCAAAGAGAGCGGAATCCTGTGAGATCTCATAAGGCCTGGGGCCTGACACACCATTCCTCCCACATTGCACTGGTCACGCAAGGCATAGGGCACCACTTCGGGGCCTGGCCTTGTACAGGGCATGTGTCCGAGGAAGCCGTGCTACGCGCACTCATATCGTATTCCGTCTACCTCACTGATAAAGTGGAAATATACTGCTTGTTCTGATTAAGGACAGAGATCGTCAAACTAAATTTTTAAAATGACTCTTAATTATATGTTGTTTCTAAGAGACACATCTGAAACATAAATTTTTGTGACATTTGAAAGTTAAAAAGTGGGAAAAGATGAACAGCATCATACTGACCAAAATAAAAACAGAGCAGCCATTGAGGACTAAATAGACTTCAAGGTTAAAAATAACAGTAGAAGGAACTAGCAGTTAGCATAATGGACTAACTAGCGCTGGACTCCCACGTAGTCGACCGCGGTTCACGTCCTGGACCCGGTGGCTTAAAATTCACACCGGACGCATGTGCGTGCGTGCCCAAGATCCCGAGAGGAGAATGGAGGAGAAGGGATTGTGGCGTGACCATCCCCCCTGGGGGGTGATTTCTTACTTTCTGTCTCTATGTCTCTCTCTGTCTGTCTGGTGAGCGCACGCGCCCTATAGCAGAAAAAAAAATTACAAAACAAAAACAAACAAACAAAAACTCTCCAAAAAAAATAAGTAACAGTAGAGGGGCCAGCATGTGGCATAGTGGTTAAGGCACTGGGCTCCCACATGACTGACTGCAGTTCGAGTCCTGGACCTGGTGCTTGCTTTCTCATCCTCTCTCTCTCTCACTCTCTTTTGGGAGTTCACATGCCCTATAGCAAATTTTAAAATAAAAATAATAGTAATAAATGAAATAGATAACTCTTTAAAAAAAATAACAGTAGAAATAAAGAAGATCATTTCAAAATGATGAGTTCAGTTTGCCGGAGGATATAACAAATTCAAATTTGTGTGTACCTATTAGCCTAGCCTCAGATACATGCAGCTCCAAAATTGACAGAAGGGCAAATCTGTGATTACAGCATGAAAGTTTAATACACCTCTGAGTAGTTAACAGAAAAAGGGTATAAAATACTTGAGCAGCATGATTACACATTTGATAGAACATTGCCCCGGTAATTGTGCAACACACATTCTTTTAAAGCATACATGGAACATGTGTAAACACTGAACAAAATACTATCTCTTATGAAGCAAATGTTAACAGATCGTCAAGGATTAAAACCATGTAGACGTGTTCTCTGTTCGAAATGCAATTAAGCTTTAACCCAATTACAAAATGATAGCCAGGAATTTCTCATATACTTAGAAATTTAAAAACACATTTCTAAGTAACCCACAGGTTAAAGACAATTTTATAATGGAAGTTTGAAACTTTCCAGGACTGAAATATAATACAAATGCCACGTTTCAAACCTTGTCGGTCAAGCTAACAAGGAGCAGGATGGAACATAAGCCTTGAGGCGGTTAGCACCACGGTGGGCGAGAGCAGCACAGAGTGAGTGAGCTGAGCATGGCCTCTCAGTTTGAAAGATAATAGCAAAATAATTCTGAAGAAAGATAAAGAGGGGCCAGCAGGTGACACAGTGGTTAAGGTGCTGGTCTCCCACATGGCCTACTGCAGTTCGAGCCCCACACCTGGCAGCTTGCTCTCTCACCTTCCCTCTCTCTTTCACTCTGGTCAAATTAAAAAAAGAAAAATGAAGAAAAAAATTAAATGACATCATTATTATAAATAAATGTAAAGAAAAATAACTGCATTAGAACAGAACTAATAGAAAGCTGCTTATTTGAAAAGACTATAAAAATTATATAAAATGTGTGGGCATTGCTTTTATAATTTTAAAAAAATCAGTGAAGGAAGTAAGTGCAGATAAAGATCTATATGCTACTTTTTCCTTACAAAAGTGAGAAAATTGGGGCAGACATCGGTGCAGTGGTAAAGCAGGACCTCTGTGAGGCAGTCTCACGCGCGGAAGTTCCGAGTCGAGTCCAGAGGCCGTCCTTGACGCGGGTACATGAGCGCCCACGCTCTGGGACTGGCTAACTCTGGACTGGACTGCAGCATTAGGGCCATGTTGCGAGTATGCCTCGCTCACTTGCTCTCTGTCTCTCTCTCTCTCTCTGTTTCACTTGCTCATGGAAGAACTATATAAACTTTAAAAAGTTTTTTAAAGAGTAAGAAAATTATACTTCCGGGATCAGCAGATGGTGTAATGGTTATATCGCTGGACTCCCGCATAGTTGACCGTGGTTTGAGTACTGGACCTGGCAGGTTAAAACTCACTTTGTGCATGCCCAAAATCCCAAGAGGAGAATGGAGGAGAAGGGACTGCAGCATGGCCATCCCCTCCCCGGGGCGGGGGGATTTCTCACTTTCTTCTTTCACTCTGTCTGTGTGCGTGTCTCTCTGGCAAGTACACATGCCCTATAGCAAAAATCTCTCTCTCTAAAAAAAATAAAATTATACTTCCTAAATAGCCAATAAAAGATTGTTTAGATAGATTGTGATCTATGTTTCAACTATGTTTTTTTTTCTTTTACCGTGCCTGAGGGCATGTGTGTGCGTGAGAGAGAACACACGGCAGAGAGGCAGAGCCATCCCCAACAGGGATTGGTAATGCTGCAGCTTTCTTTCTGCCAGTTCTCCACCCCATTGGGGTCCTGGGTTCTCACCCATGGGCATCATGTGTAAGCCACTGGGCCTGGGACGCAAACCCAGTCAGCCTCGTGGGCACTGGCCTCGTGGGCAGAGTTGACTTGCTGTGCTATGGGCTGGCCCTGCCGTAGACTTCATTATTGCAATTTTCATTTTAATGACAGAAACTGCTTACTTTACTAAATAGCTTTAAGTGATAGCAATCTACAAAATTGGATGTTTATTATAATCTATTTGCAACATTTTATGGAAAAAGTATCCAAAGAAATAATGTCAAATGTTAACAGTATTAAATAAACTTATGCACCATAGATTTACAAGCTATAGACTTAGGGCCATTTTTATCTATTTTTAATACTTCCCAACATTTCTAAAAATAATTGTGATAGATTTTTAAATGAGAAAAAATAAAAACTTTTGCTCCTAATCTTCAGTTCACAGTGAGGTAGGAGTATCACTTCATTGTAATGCCCCTTCAGTGGTGGAAACCAGAAATCAGCCTTCATGGAGGGTAGGTTTACAGTCCTCTGGAATTCAGGCCTGATGACTCTCTAAGGGACACCATGAGCACTGTTTATGTCCCTCTGTGCAATCAAATGTGGCTTCCTGTAGTAGTATTTAACCTACCACTAGGATCATGCTAACAGTTGGAGATCTTTAGTTTTCATTAGTTTTGGTTTGGCCTAAACTTAAACTGACATCCCATTCATTTTCTAGCTATGAGCAATATATTGAGCGGCATGATGGAATTATGGACTATTGGTGTGATTTATAAGCAGTAACTAACATGTTTTATAGGATATAGACTTTAAAAGTTGGACCTTCTACATTTTTAATTGGGTTATTTCATGCTGTGTGCGATTTTCTTTTTTATTAATTTTTATTAAGATACACTTGTTTTTTTGTTTTAGACATGGTTGAAACATGTTTCTATTAATGATTGTGGAACAAAAGAATTTGGTTTGAATGGCCTAATAGAAAGAGTGGAATCTCAAACTAGCCCAAATACATCATAAAATCAGACTCAGAAACTGGATGTTCAAAAAAGCATATGCTTCCCTCCAAAGTTAAAAAAAAAAAAAGAAAGAAAGAAAGTAAAAAAAAAGACGTATTTTAATAAGTCTAATAAATTACTCTCTAAATCTCTTTACTGTCTTTCTACAGGAAAAAGCAATTCCGGTATCTGCTAGAAACCAAAGGGAAAAAACCTGGCATTGTCAATGAAGAAAATAACGACAGCAAAAAACTTGTGGGAGAAAACACAAATCGTGCTACACTAAATTATACCACAAGAGACTTTTATAATGAGAAGCTGGAGGTAAAAAGCTACCATTAAGTTTTAGAATCTAGTGCCTGGACATATTCCACGTGGCTTGGGATTTGGGGATTGTACATTTCAACATTAGTCAGTTAAGATTCACTTTTGTTCTGGAATGTTACTGATCTTATATACAAAACTGAGGACGTTAGACACCAGGCATTGAAGGAGTAGAGTCCTGAGATGAAGAGCCATCTTTATTTCAGTAGAAAAACATTTTTAAAGATTTTAACAATTTTCTGTACCAAAGAGCTGTTTGTTGAAGCTGAACACTTGGTATGTCAAAACAAAGCAGAATTGCAGAGCATCTGTCATAGAGGGTACATAGCGGGTTTAGAGCTTCATTTGACTGGATCTTATATTCTTTTCCTTTCCCCTCATCCACCCCCAATCCTGAGCTGTCTCTGTGGAAGCCATGGGGCTCTAGGATTATAGTGTGAAAATTATTTGGGGGAACGAGCAGTTAGCGTAATGGCTATGTCACTGGATTCCCACGTAGTCGACCGCGGTTTACGTCCCAGACCCGGTGGCTTAGAACTCACACTGGGCGCGTGTGCGTGCGTGCCCAAGATCCCGAGAGGAGAATGGAGGAGAAGGGATTGCGGTGTGACTATCCCCTCTGGGGGGTGATTTCTTGCTTTCTGTCTCTCTGTCTGTCTCTGTCTGTCTGGCGAGCGCACGTGCCCTATAGAAAACCTCTCAAAAAAAAAAAATTATTTGGAAACTTAATGCAACAATTTTTTTTTATAATACCATAAAAGATGTTCAGATTCTGCTTTAAATTGTTCTAGTACAAGAAAGGTCAATGCTTCATGAAACGTAAAGTAATTCTTACCGATAGTAAGCTTAAATATGCCTTCCAAGAATTTTCATTTAGTGATCCTAGTACCACCTCATGTCATGAAGAGAACAAGTCTCTTCCTTATGAAAACACTTCACATGTTTGAAGTCTAGTACTTTGTCTCATTTTTAGCCCGCTCCACATTAATTCTTTCACTCATTCCCAAATCATTTTTGGGTACCTGTTATTCATAGCACATGGTATAATATACTAGCGTGATAAAAAGACACAGTTCTTGCCCTCAAGGCTCTCACAGTCTAATGGAGCAGATAGAGAGATCTAGAGATAACTAGATCTAGAGAGTAGAAGAGTCACAGTGAACTCAGGCACCTAGGCGCGCTTGCTCACAACCCTAGAGAATGAATGAGAAGGGTAGTGCCGTGACCACCCCTCCTCAGGGGTGACTTCCTACTTTCCCTCTCTCTTTCTTCTCTCCAGCAAGTGCTTGCATCCTGTTGCAAAAATCCGAAAGAAAGAAAGAAAGAAAAAGAATATAGAGCAGAAATTGTTAAAAATGTTACCTTGAGAATATAATAGAATATTAAATAGATAACAAACATTAGAATCAAGTGAGTCTTTTCTAGGAATCCAAGAAAAATTCAGTCTTAAAAAGTTAATAGATCTAAGATGAGAAGTTGTTACTTCTGTAGACATTTATAAAGAATCTCATGCAATTTAATTTCCATTCTTAATTTTTTTAACTCAATAAATAAGATAAATAAAAATTTGCTTGCTGAGGAAATTCTGAAAGTGTAAGTAGTCAGCAGAGTTTCAACATGGCTCCCATGATTTCCACCTCCTGGAGTCCCCATCCTTTTATGATCCTCTCCTTCTGGGTTTGGGTAGATTTCTAAAGAAGTTCTACAGAGATAATTAAGATCTCTAATAAGTTGACTCTGAGTTAACAAAAAGGAAATTTATCCTTAATGAGGCTGACCTAATCTGACAAATTCTTTAAAAGAGGATTCAGGGCAGCAGGAGGCATAGTGGGTAAGGATGCTGGACTCCCACATAGCCGACTGATTTCTCACTTTCTTTCTCTCTTGCTTGCTCGCTCTTGCTCTCTCTCTTACTCTGTTTCTCTCTGGTCAAATTAAAATAAGTAAATAAATAAAAGTTAAATAAGATAATTAAAAAAAAAAAAAAGGATCAAGCTTTTTATAAAATATTCTCCTGTTGGCTTTGGAGAAATAAGTCACTGGGTTTGGAGAGGGCCACATGACGAGAAAAGACCTGACCTACATTAACAACACAAAAAACTAAAATGCCTCATAATAAAGTAGTAATAAATATGCAAGACCAAGTAAAGAAAACTAAATCATTAATGAAAGACAGATTTATGCAAATGGAAAAAACTACCATATTTCAGAGATGAAAGATCTCCAGCAAAATACATCAATTTCCCTTAGTTAATTTAAGAAATAGTTCTGAGCAAATGGGATATCCAATCAAAAAAAACATATTGAATCCTTTTTTTAATACCTTACAACCAAAAATTAACTTTAGGTCAAATAAATGCCCAGTTACGAAAAAGCAGAACTTTGAAGTTCTTACTTTAAAAATAGGAGAGGCCCAGCAGGTTGCGTGGAGGTTAGGGCACTGTATCCCACATGGTTGGCTGTGCCGTTCGAGTCCAGACCTGGTGTCCTCTAAAACACACTGGGCATGCGTGTGCATGCCCAAAATCCTGAGAGGAGACTAGAAGAAAAGGAAGTGTGGCGTGGCCGTCCCTCCTGGAGGGTGATTTCTCTCTTTCTATCTCTCTGTCTTAACACCCCAACTGCATAGACTATAAGAAAAAAATTGAGAAATTTGCTAATCAGGATAGTTTCTGTGGAGTCCAATAAGCAAAGTCTTGATTAAAGTTGTTTGAGCACATCATAAACATTGAAGAAGTTAGGTTAGAGAATGTTGATTGCTGTTTTAAGAAATTGCAAAGGGAAACGAGAGGCTCCGAAGCCACACATTATTTTAGACAGAACACGGGGCTAACAGTCAGGGACTTGAGCCCTGATTCCACCACTTGCTATCTAAGAGACTTGCCCAAGTTGCTAATCACACCTGACTGGGCCTGCGTCCTGGCTCTTATACCATGTTCCCACGTCCTGGAAAATTCAGCATTGCTGCAGCACAGGGTTCTTAGTCTTTCTCTCCTGAGCGTCCTGAGCTGAGGTGAGTGCCTCACAGGCCAGGCTAAGCATGCCGTAGTTCTGTGGCTCGGTCATTGCCAATCCATTCTCCTGAATCATCTAACAGAGCTTTAAGGCGAACAGCCAGATCACCAAGAGACTTTGAAGAATCCAGTCCTATTCTTAGACAGAGGAGGAAAACCAGAAACTCAGGCGAGCTACTCAGCATAACCTGGTGAGTTACTGACTGAGTTGCTCTAGAACTGAGACCTCCGGGTTCCTGACCTGGGACTCCCACAGACTGGCATGGTGCTTTCCAGTCTTTTCAGTAGTATTTTCTTATAGTAATAAAGCCCACCCCACTGCAAAGGGCTCTCTGAACACCGACTGCCCTTGCTGTCTGACCATGTCACCAGCACTCGCTCACTGCTTCTTGTGTTCTGTAAGCTCCGTGTATATGTAAGGCTGTCTCCCAGTAAGGGCCCAGGTTCTTCTAGCACTGGATTCGACTTTTCTCTAGGGAAGGATTAATAGATGACGTCTCGTCCCGAGCAAGTCTCTCAACCTCTGTCAGACCTTGTTTCCCAGTTATAAAACGGATATGTGAATTAGATCTGAGCACAAGCACCATTATAGTATAAATTGCTCTATTACCTATCCCACCTTTAACCTACTTTCTTCTCGAAACCATCTTCATGTAATAACAAAATTCTCATTGAGTGAGTAGTATAAATGATGATGTATAGAATCCACCTCACAGGATTAGATGTAAACTGCTTGCTTTATAAGCCCTACAGGCTGTTGTAGGGTAAAAAGCAAAGGGTACGAAAGCACTTGAGAGCGGAAAAAGCCCTAATGTTGTTCAAAGAGCAGCAAGTCCTTGACGGGTCAGGGCAAGAGAGGCACCTCTAATGTGCTCTTAGGAGATCGTCCTGGACAGGCAGAGTGAGCTGTCCTGGCAGACACCCGCTGAGTTACAGGGTATACTGCATGTAGATGCAGAATCATTGGCTTGGAGGGGAGGAAAATGATGAAATAAGAAGTGCTTTCAAACACAGTTACTAAATTAAGGGTTATTATAGCTGATACACTTCTGTATCAACATGTTCATGGAGAAACAATGGAAGAAACTATAGCAGGAAATTCTAAGTCACTGAGAATTATACTATGCCAATTATGAAAAGTTTATTTTAATTTGCATTCTATATAAATTACTTAACAAAATATAATGTTTATAAATTCTTTTGATTTTCTAATCTCTAAACTATTATGGAAATGCTTCCAGTCACTATTTAATAATGAATCTCATCTGGTTTTTTTTTGTTTTTTTTTGGTTTTTTTTTAGAGCGTTTTGCTATAGGGTGTGCATGTTCACCAGAGAGACAGAAAGTGAGAAATCACTCCCCAAGGAGGACAGCCACGCTGCAATCCCTTCTCCTCCGTTCTCCTCTCGGGATTTTGCCCAGCGTGAGTCTAAGCCACTGCGTCCAGGACTCGAACCACGGTCAACTACATGGGAGTTCAGTAACCTAACCATTATGCTGTCTGCTGGTTACTACCTTCATTTTTTAATTTAAAGCCCTGTTGTAAGAAATTCAGAAATCTGTAAGAAAGGCATTCATTCAGTAAGCTCTGGGCCATCTATTGGTATAAATGTATTGCTACCTGTAAATTATGACTTGTTTTTCTTACTGACCTAGGAATTCATACTTGTCCTTCTTTCTGGGAGTCCATGTGTGGCCCAGATTTACGGGGTGTCAAAAAGGGAGCAGCTAAAGGCTCTTCTCTTCAACAAAATAAGCAGCCTTGGTAACCATTTGTTATTTATCACTCGTCAAAATCTGCACGCGCTCTTACGATGGGTCAGCCATGGCCCGCTGCTCCGGCCTGTGAACTGTGTCAGAGGAGCGTGCCGGCCGCTGAGTGGCGAGATTACTCAGAGCCGCCTTACAGGTCATAAGAAAATTTCCAAAATGTGCCCGCTAAAGGAAGTGCAGTTTCATCTCATTATTAATTTACATGAACTAACCAGGAATATAAAGTATATTTTGTTGTTTGATAAAAGAAGAAAAACAGAAAAAAAGAGGGAAAGTATTGACCCTCTAGCCTACTAGTTAAGGGAACCAGATCCCACGTGGCCAGCAGTGATACAAATCCCAGCCACGGCAACTCGGGAACATGCCAGGCGTGTGTCGCTACATGCCCCAAACCCCGACGGGTGGAGACACGGAGGAGAAAGGGCTGCTGCATGACGTGCCCGCTGCGGGGCGTCTCGCTCTCTCCTCCCTGTCTCTCTGGTAAGCACGCGTGCCCATTGGCAGTTATAGAAAAGGAGGGAAACACACTCATGGGCTCACAAGCCAAAGGCAAACGAACCTTTGGTATGTTTTCTTCTATAGTTTTCTATGCATTCTTTTCTAACCTTTTAATAAAAAGTTTAAACATATTGAAAAGTTGAAGGAATTTTTCAGTTAACACCTGTACACCCAAACCTGCAGTGTAATGTTACTGTTGAACTATCATGTATTCACCTTATCACATATCTATCTATTCATCCCTGTATCCTATCAGCCCACCTTGTTTTATTTTTAAGTTTCTTTCTTTCTTTCTTCCATGATTGAGACCAGACAACAGACAGACAGGCAGAGACAGAGACAGAGACAGCAGCCCCAACAGGGGCTCCCAGCTTCAGCTAGCCCCGAGTCATGGGCACGTGTGTGCCAGCGCACTTGAGAGGGTCTGACCCTGAGCCTGGGACTCTCCCACATGCCGCTGTAGTGCTGTCTGCCCCCGGCCTTGTTTTTGTTTTCAGGTCATTTCAAAGCAGTTGCATACATTCACTCATATGCCTCTTAAATAATTCAGCATGCACTGTCGTTAATTAGGGTTCAGTAGTTGATACAGTTTCTTTTGAGATAAAATTTATATGCTGAAATATAAATCTTAGATATACAGTTGCTACGTCTTTTTTTGAGAGAGAGAGATATTTTTGCTACCGGGTGCCTGCACTTGCCAGCGAGTCAGAGAGACAGAAAACAAGAAATCACCACCACCACCACCCCGCCCCCCAGGGAATGGCCATGCCATAATTCCTTCTACTCCATTCTCCTCTCAGGATTTTAGGCATGCACGCACATGCGCCTGTTATTTCAAGCTGCTGGGTCTGGGGTTCGAACCACGGTCAGCCATGTGTGAGTCCAGCTACATAGCCATTACGCCATCTGTTGGTCCCCAATTGCTAAATGATAAATTAATAAATGCATGCAGTTGTATAACCAAACTCTATCAGAATTTCAGTTGTGTGTTGGGACCAGCAGTTAGCATAATGACTATGTCGCTGGACTCCCAAGTAGTCGACCACAGTTCGAGTCCCAGACCCAGTGGCTTAAACTCATGCTGGGCACATGTGCGTGCGTGGCCAAGATCCCGAGAGGAGAATGGAGGAGAAGGGATTGCGGCGAGGCCATCCCCCCAGGGGGTGATTTCTCACTTTCTGTCTTTCTCTGTCTTTCTGGTGAGCGCACGTGCCCTATAGTAAAAACTTCTCCCCCCTCAAAAAAAAAGCATTTCAGTTGTGTGACCCAGCCATGCTGGCCTGCATGTAGCACCACCTCCTGGGAGGGCAGATGCTGCATGGGAAGGCTAGGTTCAGTTCCTAGGCCAAGCCGAGTGTCAATGCACAAAATACTCGTTGAACTTTTGCATTAAACAAAATGGCTTTGTTTTACCCTCTGTGACAGAGCCGGGGCCCAGTGCCTGAATATCCTCCAGCGTGAAACTTTGGTTGTGTTTAGAACCAGGTTTTTCATTTGCAAACTGCCAGACCCAGAAGTTGAGGGGGAGCCTTGTTTCTTTAAAAGGTGGTATTTTGAATACCAGGCTAGTGTATATCTCATCTTCCTCCTTGTATATTCCTTGTATACTTTTCCCAAGTTTGTCCAGACTGACCGGGCCACATAAGTGGAGCACTGTACCGTTTATGCTTTCCTTCGATAGAGGGTAGGTTCAGAGTCTGAATACTTAAAGGGATATGTAGATATCAGCTAAGCTCGCGGCAATAAAAACGACTGGTTCTGGTACCCTGGTACATTTACCACGGAAGCCACGAGTCTGTGCATTGACCTGACTCCTCTGAGCAAACTGCCTGAGTGGAGATAGGAGGAATAGCGGTCATGACCCAGGGACTCCAATAAAGAAACGTTTTCTAGCATGGTGGTTAAGGCACTAGACTCCCACACGGTCAACCGCAGTTCAAATCCCAGACCTGGCAGCTTGAAAATCACGCTGGGGACATGTGTATGCCTGCCCAGAATCCTGGGAGGAGAAGGGATTGCGGCATGGCCATCCGCACTGGCGAGATGATTTCTCACTGTCTCTCTGGCGAGTGCACAGACCCTATGGCAAAAACCTTTAAAAATTTTTTTCTAAAAAGAAAGAGATGTTTCTAGCTGAGCTTTCCAACAGAAGTAGTGTGAGCTGAGAAGTAGCGGGCTCCCCAGGCTGTCCCTCCTGAACAGCACTCTCGGCCTGGAGCCTGGGAAAGAGGGTGGGTGTGAGGGGCGGTGCTCAGAATGGCTTATTGCAGATGTCTCCGGTTCAACTCATTGCTGCTTTGACTTTTAGGATCGATATAGTTTAATGCAATTTTTTTTCTTTTTTTTTTTTTAACAGGAAATAAAGGAAAAAAAGAAATTCTGCAAGACGTACATAGAGGACCTTGTGAAGGAGGCCACAGAAATCAACATGAAAAATGAAGCTCTGCAGAAGCTCTGGCCACAGATGTTCATTGAGCTTGTCAGGGATGCCATCATAGAGATCCGCAATAAGAATTCCTATATGAAATTCTGCCTCCAGCAGATAACTGACCAAAAATAGAAGTGGCTTTTGGTTATAGTGCATTCTGGCAGTTGCATTTCTTGAAGGTTGAAAATATGCAGGTTACACATGTTAAAACAACCACATCGGCATCCTACCAACTAGAGACTAGTATCGAAGCTTTATGGCTCACTGTTCTTGAAGTCAAATGTCGGGAAGGAAGAAGGGCAGCGGGGGGTAGGTCCAGCTCCCACGTATGACGACGAGACAGCTCTGGAACCCGGCGGTGTAGACGCTCGGCCTGAGGTGGGCACTGCACACGGGTCCTGCCTCGAGCAGTACCTGGGGTAGCCCGGAGCACGCAGTGTTTGCCGATGGCTCCGCATGAGTTGCTTCTGCCTACTTTCAGCTGACAGCTTTCGGTTATTTGCCTTTTCATTTTGTCATGATTTCCAAGCCCAAAAAAAATGTTCTTTTTTTTTTTATGAGCAAAGAACGAACTTACTAATAAATTAGTTTTTAAAAAGTGTGTTTGCCTCCTTAATCCAGTTGGAATTGTCCTGTTTACCCTGTGTTCTTTTTAGCTAGGTGACATCCCTGCTGTTTACCTGTGTCGGAGGAGGTCCCATTCATCTAGGGATGCATCCTCTGGGGGCCACAGGGAGTCCTGGGGACGCCCTGGGAGAGGACAGGAAAACGAGTCAGAACTGGAGTAGGAAGGACAGCTTTGTCTTCAAGGAGACTGTTCATGTAAAATGCGATTGCAAAGCAGAAGGTGCTTCCTTCCGTTGTTAGCTGTTCCAGGGCTCTTCTTAGGCCTGTGCACCTGTACCGTGGAAGCGCTAGGGAAACCTGGGTGAAGGGTTCTAATTTTTAAAATTTTTTTGGAAGATTAAACAGATAAATGAGATGCAAGCAGGGATTTCGCCTGGTTGGTACTGGCAAGGAAGGTGGTTGGAGCCTCTGGCCATCACTAGAGACGACACAGTTTCAGGAAAACAACCTTACAGGCCAATAGACAGGAATTGTGCAGTTGGCTCAGATTTTGCCTGGCATCTCTATGTCAGCAAGACCACCAGGATGTGGGAGGACAGGAGTAGAGAAGGGCCAGGGCCAGGCGGAGATGCCCAGAAGGAAGCTGTGTAAGCGCTACGCGGGTCTCAGGGAGACCCACATCCTTAGGCCCTCCTGGTTACCCTCTGCCCAGAAGGAGTGCAGAAGGTTAGTAGGTTCACATAATTTTCTGGAAATGGCCTTTTAAGTCACACTATCCTGGGTAGACCTGTTGGCACTTAAGCTACCAGCTTACTAGCTTGCGACCCATCTGAACCCGTTTCCTCCTAATTGCACAAGATTGTCGTGACAATCAAATGAGATAGTACGTGTAAAAGGTTTCTCATAATGCCTGGCACACAATAAGACCCACAGCTCTGTTATCAGTGTTCTGGGTGCAGGTTAAACCGAAGGGCTGTCGCCTCAACATTGCTTGGTTCAGATGCACGGGTCATTTCTCATCCAACTGCTGAGCGGCGATCTCCCCTGAGGTTTTTATGTTGTTTGGGATGGAAACGAAGTCCCAGATTGAGAATGACAGTGGAACCAAGAATATCTTGTTCATGGGTTTCTAGTAAGTAGGAAAGACGAGCTCTCACGACTCCTTGGGCGTGTGTGTGTGTGTGTGTGTGTGTGTGTGTGGAGCTGCTTGCTGCTCCAGGCTTCATGGCATTCGAATGGCCTGGTGCATTACTAAGTCACCTACCCAGCTTCCTGCTTGCAGTCTCTCCCCCTCTAGCACTTCCGCTCCTGCTGCTTAAGAGGCTTGACCCTTGCCTGCATTCTCGGCCCTCCCCAGTTGTCCTGGTAACTTGGACCCTAGATCAGCCGTCAGTAAGTGTTGGCAGCAAGCCTGCCAGCCAAGGCTGGCTCTACCCAGACCTTCTGCCTTGGGCCTAGTTCCTTGTTCCGGAAGTCTTGTTTCCAAAAGCAGAACTGCATATTCCTCATCCGTGGACTCTCCTTTGTACCTGAGTTCCCCCTTGCCTGCCCCCACTGCCCCTTATTGATTCTCGGATCCTTATTTCGTCTGATCCCAAGCTCCCAGTGGCTATGTCCTCCCACCTAGTTCTGTCCTACAAAGCTACGTGGTTTACTGGAGCTCCCAGGTGAGGGTAATCCCCAGATGAAGGGAGAGTGGAGCCTGGGTCTACTGGATCTAGGATCAAGTGGTGACCCATGGAAGGAATGACCCTGTCTTCTTGGCGTTTTCCAAGTTTGGGGTGGAGGGGAGAGAAGAGAAGATGCGTGCTCTGCAGTCAGACTCCAGACCAGTGTGCACCGGTGGGCATTTTCTAGAAGAGGTCTTAAGTGGGAACAAAGTATGGTCTGCCCTGGAAGCAGAAACACCCAACCTCCCCTTTAGGGAGATCCCATCGCTCGTGTTCTGGTTCAGCAACTGGGTGGTTACGGGTGCAAGGCCCGGGGCCGGTTAGTTAGTGTGTGCTTGGATTCGAGCCTACCTAGCTATGCTGCTGAGTGTGAGGGTGGTGCTGACATCAGCTGCCACCTTCTGAGCGGCAGTCCCCTGAGGGATTTGCATTGCACTGAAGGGGGAGCAGTGCCGCCCTAATGGTACTGAACTCTGAACAGGGCAGGGAATTCCCTGGGACTCATGTTGTCCTCCCTGAGTGACAGTAATCGTAACAACAGAGACTCACTGAGCGGTGTTTTGCACTGTTATAAACTCTTATCTATCAGCCTTGTCTCAGTTAACCCCGTATCACTGTGATGCACACGTTTGAGGCGTAGAGTGGTTGAATAACACCAAGGATCTTTCAGCCAATGAATAGTAGCTAAGACCTACGTTTGCAGTTAGTCTAAAGGATCTGATATCTGACATAAATGTTCATGCCTGTGGTCTTTCCAGATCTGCTTTCATTGCTGCTGTGCCCAGAAAGAGCAAATGAAAGATGGTAATTTCTCAAATATGTCTGCATGTGTGGGCCATTGCAGGACATTTAGTGTAACTGCCGGTGGAGAATGTATTGATATAAAGACACATGCGCACTATTGTGGTTGTTTAAAGACAAAGGCACTGAAAGTATAAACATATCAGTAATCCGCAGAGAATCAACCCGAGGAGGGCACAAGAGCAAGAATCGAATTAGGGAGACCTGTTGCACAAATACTGCCCTGATCTAGGCAAGAGATAGCCATCCCGTCATCCCTCAGATCTCGGTGACAGCTACACCCGGGGGTTTCAGGAAGTGGCTGGCTCTTGGTGTAGTCAGAGGCCGAGCCAGCGAGGTTTACTGGTAGACGGGTGTGGGGCATGAGAGACAAGCCGCTGATGGCCCCGAGGTTTTTGGCTTGAACTGGAAAGACGGAGTTCAGCTGAGTGGGAGCAGGTTATGAGTGGGGACTCGCAGGGGAAGATTAGGCACTCCATCTTGTGTATGTCGAATGTGAGGTGGCTGCTGAGTAGTGACGAAGTGGCGGACAGGGTATGGGAACTGGGAGTTGAGAATAGTGTGGGCTGGGCTAAAAGATAAAATTTGGAATCGCTGGCACAGAGCAGTAGCTGTGCACGTTATCCTTAGGAGAGTAAACCTGTCACTTGCCGAATGTTAATCATAGCGTATTTGCCTTTTGATTGATCTAAGTTTTCCTTTTGTGTCATAAATCTCTTACTGTTGTCCCTTATGATTCATTTCATTGTGGTGAAGCTTATTCAAGGAGCGGAGGGTAACTCACCTGTCCCTCCCGTGTTCTGATTCCATGTTTATCTATCATTAGTAGTTGGTCGACAGGCCAGAACGTGCCCCGTTCATCTCCTGTTTGAGAAAACCCAGGCTTTATTCTCCCAGGTCCTAGAGTAAGATATGGGTTGGGGGAGGGGGGAAGGAAAGTAGAAGGGAAAGAAAGAAAGAAAGTGGGGGGAGGAAGGGGGACAAACGTGGCTACTTAGTAAGACAAAATGCTAAGCGGAATAGAGACTGCTCGGGAAGCGTTCAGTTTGACTCTTGAAGAAGAGAGGGGGGTGTTTGCAACTGGCTTTTACGGGTCAGCTGGAGATGGAGCGATGGCGGTGGCCAAGAAGTTCCAAGCCCGGTCGCTGATGGCCAAGCAGCAGCCGGTTAGCCAGTCGTGATGGTGTAGCCGTCTCCGATCTCGATCTCATGTTTCTGCCTCGTGGTTCGTTCTCTGTCTTTCTCTGCAAGCTACTTCGGCTCCTTTATGGAAAGAGCTGACATCTGTTCAGCGCCCCAAAGAGTAAATGACTCCTGAAGGATGACTCTGCTCCTTGGGGAGTGGAACAGTTTGCGCTTTCTTTTCAGGAGACAATGAAACTATTAATTCCTTGCCATCTCTGAGCCTGAGCCACAGAGTTGCCTTCTCTTTGTTTATCTTGACATACTTCAGTAGAATAATATCCCAAATAAATACCCCGTAGCTAGCACCAAGCATAACAGACCTTAATATTTTTCCACATTTGCTTCACATTTTAAAAATAAAACATGGCAGAGTTGGAGCCCTGTACACCTGCTTCCCTCCCTGCAGGTAGCCACTGTCCTGGTTTCATGCTCCTCACTCACGTTCTCCTTTCCCAGTTGTGCATAAATGTACAGGGAGTGTATGAAACTGGGTTTATATGTTTTCCGGTTTTATAGAAATGGTATCATGCAATACGTGTTTTTCTAAGTTGAGGATTAGTCTCGTGGTTGGGTAGCTCCACCTCGTCCGTGGGCACTGCTGTTCAATATTTGCCTGTGTGGAAAATGCACAATTTGTTTTTAAAGGGTTTGGGCCTAGAGGGCATGTCACCTGAGATAGAGAGAGGTAAAGTGAGAAATCACACCCAGGGGTTGTTGGCCATGCTGCCATCACTTCTCCATTCTCCTCTCGGGATTTTGGGCACATACACACGCATGTGCCTGGAGTGATTTTCAAGCTGCCAGATCTAGGACTCGAACCACAGTCGGCGATATGGGATTCTAGCGCTTTAACCAGCGTGCTGCCCACTGGTCCAGCCAATGCAGTTTAAGAGCTTTCTGATTTTAAATGAGCACTGAAAATGCTTCAACGATACACCTATTCTTGTGTGTGTGTTTGAGGCTACACAATTAGCAGAATTACTGGGTCACGTGCACATTCAGCTTACTAAATATTGCCAAATACTTTCTGAAATGATTTGCGTTCGTTCGCACCTGCAGACAGAAAAGAATATTCCAGTTGTTACACATGCTCACTGACGATTAGGATTTTCATTTTTTACCCTCCAATGTAAACGTGTGTGTGTGTGTGTGTGTGTGTACTTGAGGGTGACTCTTGTGCAGAGAACATGGTTGTTTCTTTTTTTCAAAGAGAGAGTTTTGCTATAGGGCATGTGAGCTCACCAGAGAGAGAGAAATCATGCCGCAATCCCTTCTCCTCCATTCTCTCAAGATCTTGGGCACGCACGCACCCGCACCCAGTGTGAGTTTTA